GTTCAGTGCATTTTTGCTGCAGGTCGACCTGCCCCGAATCGGGTCAGACACGGGGCACAGGTCGGGGCAGTCTAAGAAAAATAAATTGATACTTAGGCTAAATAAATTCGATTTTGGAACTAAAAGTCGAACGTGTAGCGCCTCAAACGAGCACAATTTGCATTTTATTTTATTTTAGCTCGACATTTTAATTTTATTTAATGAAAATTAAGTGGATGTCCTCATTCACTTAATTTTATTGCATGAAATCAGCCACCACTTGCTCGCGATGTTCTCTGAGGAAGCGCTGCCCAACTTTGGTGTGCCACACCTTCTGGCGAGCGCGGATAGCGGCAAGGTCGGTTAAGCGCTTCTTCTCTTACTCGAGAGTGGCCTTCTCTTACGCTCAAGCAGCCTTCTCCACCTCGAGCGCATCTTCAAGAGCCTTCTCTCGCGCTTGAGCAGCCTCCTGGAAACCCTTCTTCTCCGCCTCAAGGGCCTTCACCCTTAGCTTTTCATCCTTCAGCATCTCACGGAGCTCGTGGCGACGTAGAGTGAGCTGGTTGACCTTTTCTTGAAGGATACATGCCCCCTTTTCGACCATGGGGATCGAATCGCCCGCACTAGACATCATCTGATCGGCCAGAGGAATCGGCTCGATCAAGCCACGTTTTCCATCACAATGTAGAAAGATTGATAAATAAAGAGTACAAGAGACAACAAAGGTGTCGAAAGAAAGAAAAACAGGAAAATGCAAGGATGAAAGTAAGAGTTACTTGCACTTGTCGTCGTACGAGACAATGTCCTTGAGTCTTCAGATCAGCGCTACTATTTCGAGGTTAGAGACAGCGACAATGTCCTTCAAACGGGACAATATGTCTTCTTCGTTGGCCCTCGCTAATGGGGGAAGAGAAGGGGGGATGACATCTATCGTCTCCTCTATGCGGAGACGTTTATTAGCCCCCTCATTATCTTCGGTGGGAGGGCGCTTAAGGTGCGCCTACGCGACCAGCTGTGGGTTCGCGGAGGCGGGTGACTCGACCACATGAATGGTCGAGTATGCAGGGGGAGAAGTCGGCTACTGATCCTTGATCACCGGCATGGTTGCATTGGCCGGAGGAGAGGCTGGTTGTTGATGTTCTCATGAAGGTGATTGTAGTTGTTCATCGACTTATGGATCGATCGAGGAGGGAAGAGGTTTCTCCTCAACAATAGGCTCGTGGGTTGGTGTAGTATGGGTATCGGCCTCCATGGAGGAGGTCGAGTGACCAGGCTGCGGTGTGATCGAACCTGAAGGATGAGAGCCCGAAGCTTGGGTGGACTTCTTCTTCAGAGGAACTCTCCTCTTGGGCAGCGGAATAGCAGGCATCTCTGCAAAGATATCAAAAAATAAGTTAACACAACAACAAATAACTTATCCACAAATACGAGCACGACAACACTCGTGCAGAATAATCGAAAACTACCTGGATTGCCTTCTACTCGAAGACAGTCAAGGATTTCTTGGGATGGAGGAGACAAAGACATATGGAGGAGAGGACCGGAGAAATGCAGAAGGTACAGAGGGTCGACCTAACGTTTCTCCCAGAGGCATGTCCGTCCTCACCTTCACCTAGTGGCTCAAAATATAAGGCTGCAGCTTCCTTACTGTAACTACCACCGCCAAGGCACACTTCTCGATCTCCGAATACTTCCTCTCCGCACCTTACATCACCCTACTCACATAGTAGATCAGAAACTGGACCACTCCTTCTTCTCGCAACAACACCGAACTCACCGCCGTTTATCCGATGGATATATATAACACCAGATCCTCTCCATGTACCGGCTTGGCTAACAAAGGTAAGTTGGCTAACACCTTTTATAGATCCTCGAACGACTTCAGCGTCTCCTCCGTCCATTGGAATTTCGAGCTCTTCCTCAATGTCCGGAACAGTGGGCCGCTCTTCTCCACCACCTTCGAAATAAAGTGACTCAAAACCGCAATCCGGCCCGTCAGGATCTGCACCTCCTTCACCTTTGTGGGCGGTTTCATCTCGATCACCGCCCCCACCTTTTCTGGATTCACCTCGATCCCTCTCTTCGTCACTATATATCCTAGAAATATTCCCGACTTCACACCAAAAGAACACTAAGAAGGATTCAGCTTCATACCATACCTCCGCAGAGTTAAGAACGTTTCCTTCAAATCATTCACATGATCAGCCTCCTCCTTGCTCTTCACCAACATATCGTCGACATAAACCTCCATGTTCCTCTCCAGTTGCTACTTGAAAATTTTATCAACCAACCTTTGATATGTTGCTCATGCGTTCTTCAAGCCAAAGGGCATCACCACATAACAATAAGTGCCCCTGCTCATCACGAAACTCACCCTCTTTCTATCCTCCCGAGCCAAAAAAATCTGATGATATCCTTGGGATTCATCCATCAGACTGAGCAACTCACATCCTGCGGTGGAATCGACTAACTGGTCGATCCTGGGTAATGGATATAAATCATTCAGGCACGCCTTGTTTAAGTCGCGAAAGTCAATGCACATCCTCCACTTGCCTCCCGACTTAGACACCATCACCGTGTTACAACTACTCAGGGAATTGGATCTCCTTAACATGACTAGCCTTTAACAACTTCTCCACCTCTTGCTCAATCACCTTATCCATCTCCGCTCCATGATGCCTCATCTTCTGTTTCACTGGCCTCGCCGAGAGGTCAATATTCAACCTATGCTCGATCACCTCCGCCTTGATCCCTATTAACTTCTCAGCGGTATAAGCAAAAACATCCGCAAACTCCCTTATCAACCCAATCAACTTCGACCTTATGGGCTCCTCCAACTCCTTCCCAATTCTAAACTTCCTTTCCTCAAAACCCTCCACCATTTGGATCTACTCGATTTCGTCTCCTGGCTGCATCTCCACTTTCTCCTTCCCTTTATCCGATCTCACCTTCTCTTCCTTCGACCTTGAACCTCCAGGTCGAATCAACGTTCCCTCTTCCGACTTCACCGGTCTCTACGCGAGTTGTTTATTGTTGCTCACCGTGGTTTGATAACAACTCCTCAAAGTGAGCTGATCCCCTGCGACCTTACCAACGTTTTCACCCACTGGATATTTAATCGTCATATGGTACGTTGACACGACCACCTGGAATGCATTCAAACTAGTCTTTCCCATAATGATGTTGTACGATGACTCCGCTCCTACGACCACGAACCTTACCATTCTCATCTTCCTCGTTACCCCTTTCCCTAAAGCGACAGATAGGCTCACCTCTCCCATCAGCATCACCTCTCCTCCATCGAATCAATACAAGGCTGTGGTCACCGGTTTCAGCTTGAGGTTGAGCTCCTTGTTTATCTACACAAAGCAATCATAAAACATGACATCGATGGAACTCCCGGTATCGATTAACACCCTCTTCACATCAAAGCCTGTCACCTCCGCCGTAATTACCAATTCGTCATTGTGGGGTAACACCACTCCCTCAGCATCCTCTGTCTCCGGCATTTGAGCAGTAATTCCCACCTCCTCTCACTTCCTGTTTATCGCTCGAACATACCCCTTCATCGCATTTTTCGAGTCCCCATCGGTTGGTCCTCCCGAAATCATATATATCATCCCCCTCTTCACGAGGCCTTGATCC